CGTATTGTTTGAGATCTTTAAAACATTTTTACCAAATTCTATTAAATACAAAAGAAAGAAAGAAACTTTTTAGTTTGATCTACTAGAATAAACAGCGTTGGTTAATAAATACATTTAATATTTAACATTTTCTAAGAAGAGAAACACGCGTATTTCTGCAATATTTTTAAAATTTTTAGGACTTGCCACACAACCTGATGCATTTAATTTTATACGTGTCATTAGTTAATTAATTCGATTTGTCTTTCAATGATTTTTTATTCTAACAATTGCGAAAAATTGCAGACTGCTGGTGTCAGCCCTTGTGTCACTGTCATGGGGTGTACCGACGACCGTGAACGCCAATGAGGTCGTGGCAGCCAAGGGGACCGAAGAGCTGTTAAAAAAGGCCAGAGACTTCTTGGGCCGTGTTGACCAGCAGTACGCAGAATGGAACAACAAACAGACACTCGCTGAATGGGAATATGCGTCGAACTTGAATCCAGAGAACTTGGAGAAGAAACTGAACGTGTCCGTGGAATCGTCTCGTGTGTACAAATCGGTCTGGCAGGAAGTGAACGAGTTCCAATGGAAGGATATCAAAGATGAAAATATCAGAAGACAATTTTCGAAACTCAGCGTCCTGGGCATCGCGGCTCTTCCCGAAAACGTAATGAATTAATAATTGTAATAAATTACGTGCAGAAGCATATTCGTATATAAATTTTGAGTAAATTAAAAAGAACTGGTAATTTTTAGAGGCGTGCGGGATTCCCGAAGATATGCGGGATTCTCGTAAAATGTCCGGGATTTCCGAAAATGTCCGGGATTCCTGAAAATATTCGGGATTTTCGAGTTTATGCGGGATCCTAAGTTGATTCGGGATTCCCGAGAATACACGGGATATAGAATATCTGGATATAATATCTGGGATTTCTGAAAGTGTTGTTACTCTTGAAAATTTCAGCAATCCGAGTGTACGGGATTTCGAAATTCCCGGGAATCCCGAACATTTACGGGATCTCGAAATTCTCGGGAATCCCGAACATTTACGGGATCTCGAAATTCTCGGGAATCCCGAATAGTTTCGGGATCCCGGAAATTCACGGGAATCCCGGATGTATTCGGGATTTTGAATTTCTCGGGATTCCCGGATGTATTCGGGATTTTGAATTTCTCGGGATTCCATCCGCACACCCATAGTAATTTTCAAGATTTTATTTTCAAAAATATGCGTCACATAGAGCAAACAAATATTTACGTTACGTTTGGACATCATTGAGGTCGATAAACAAAATTTCATTATGTATTTTATTTAAGCTGACGCCATTCAGTTCCTGTGCCTTTATATTCAATCAGTTATAACTCTCTTTTAATCGAATATACTTATTTGTCATTCAACCTTCCAATTAATTACGAATTTTCTTGGTAAATAGGCTGGCAGAGATCGTGTTATAAGCGATATGGAGAACATCTACAGTACCGCGAAGATTTGCGATTACAAGAATCAAACCAAATGCGATCTGGCTCTCGAACCCGAGCTAACGGAGCGTATGATGAAGAGCCACGATCCTGAGGAGTTGAAGCACATTTGGGTAAAATGGAGGAAAGCAACCGGTGAAAAAATGAAACCTTTATACACGAAGTACGTCGAGCTGAGCAACATGGCTGCAACATTGAACAACTTCACCGACTACGCGGCTTTCTGGATGAGAGACTACGAGGCTGATGATTTCCCTGAACAAATTGGTAAGTTGAAACGTTCAAATCTATTGAGTGTTTCTTCGATGTGAAATGGTTGAATATCTCACGAGAGGATAATAGTTATTTGGTACAAAGTGGAACGTTATATGGAATAAATAATGTTGTTGTAAGTGAATTGATGAAGGAGATTTAAGTAACAATATATTATATGTAAAAATTAATCCGTGTGCTATTATATTCAACTGTTTATAACTTTAGTTTAAGTAGAAATATTTTATAAATCTAAACATTTATTTAGATGATTTGTTTGATGATTTTACTCATCATATTCAATGCATTATCATTATGGAACCTAGCAGTCGGTCTGTAGAACCGGTTGGCAACTGTTAGGGGCGGAGAAAGTACCCCTGATAGTTGGCAACTGGTGCTACACAATGATTAGTGTAAATCCTTAAATCTATTGAATTTATACAATTTATGTATGAAGGTTAAGGTTAACAAGTGAATAAGCGTCGAACGAATTAATAGCAATGAAATTTTTGTAGAAACCATTTGGCAACAATTGAAGCCATTTTACTTGCAACTGCACGCCTATGTCCGGCGGGAACTTCGCAAGAAGTATGGAGAAGACATCGTCTCAAAGGACGGTCCTATCCCAGCGCACTTATTAGGCAACATGTGGGCACAGTCTTGGAGTAACATTGCAAATTTCACAACTCCATATCCAGGAAAACAATTGCCAGACGTCACCAATGCTATGGTCGAACAAGGTTTGTTTTTTTTTAATCAGTTATTCATTGGGTATTAGACAATTTGGATTAGTCAAAACTTCAAACGGTACATGATACGATTAAACACAAAGGAATAAATAGTACATAAATATCAATAAAACCTACAAATAAATAGAAATAATTTTTTTAATAAAATCTTATATATTTGTATCCATAGCAAAGTAGCATTTTGTTTAGACAAATTCATTGGTATATGAAACGATTTCTTGTAATACAAAGCTTTAAATTAGAGATTTTACTTATTGGATTCAATGCAACTGACCAGTCGGTTTGTATCACTGGTTGCCGCTCATTAGGCGCAGAGACGATGCCCCTGATAAATGGCAACCGAAAATGCACATCGAGTGGCGGGTTACGTTAAATCTATCGAATTTGTCTAATATTCAAATTAATTTCTTTAATAAATAAAATCTATTTTTATAAATGCGTAACACCAGAAATATTACTTACGTATTGTATAATTCGTATTACTTACATATGTATTATGTTTTTTTTTTTATTTCCATATTATCTACATTTTATACATTTAACTAGTAGTACTAACTAAATTAACATAATAATAATTTAATTTAGCTTACAATCCATACTGTTGTTTATGGTTACTTAGGATACAATGTAACCACAATCTTCCGTGTCGCCGAAGACTTCTTCACATCTATAAATCTTACCGCGATGCCGGATCTGTTTTGGGAGAGATCGATTTTGGAAAAGCAAAAGGATCGCGAGATGATTTGTCACGCCAGCGCTTGGGACTTTTACGATGGCAAGGATTTCAGAATCAAACAGTGCACAAGGATCGATATGGAGGACCTGTTGACCGCGCATCACGAAATGGGCCATATCGAATATTATTTACAATATAAAAATCAACCCACTGTTTTCAAAGAAGGCGCTAATCCCGGATTTCACGAAGCTGTCGGCGATGTTATAGCACTCAGCGTGTCGACTCCTAGTCATCTGAAAAACATCAAGTAACTAAAACATTGGATACAATTTATAAGATTAAGAAATTTTTCCAATGTGTAACTCGTTTGCCGAAAATATTGCTCGTATTCGATATTTCTTTTTTCAATAACTCAATTCGTTTCATATTTTACATTTAATTACACATTGTTACGTATAAATAACATATATTTTTTTCTATACCTGCATGCAATCTAAATATTTAAAATCTGCAGTTTAATGACAACGATACAAATTTTACTAATAATTCATTGTTATTCCAAGTGAGATATTATGAAGGAACAGGAATATGAAATAAATTTTTCCAATTCTTCTCGCCTGCTTAAATATTGACAAAAGTGAAGGTTAATATCATACTTGTAATGTTGATTTTATAGATTGTTGAAGGATGATTCCACCGACAAAGAGGCCGTTATTAATCACCTTTACTTGAAAGGCCTTGATAAAATTGCCTTTCTACCTTTCGCGTATATGATGGATAAATGGCGCTGGAATGTATTTCAAGGAGCAGTTACCCCAGACAATTATAACTGTAACTGGTTAGTATGATCTCTGAAACTATTAGTTTTAGATAATTAAATTTATTTTATCCGATATATTTTTTTTAAACTTTTAATTTTCAGGTGGGATCTAGTCGAAAGTTTTCAAGGCATCGAGCCACCTGTAGATAGATCCGAAGATGATTTTGACCCTGGTGCGAAATACCATATAATAGCAGATGTAGAGTACGTCAGGTACTACGTGAGTCTCATAATACAATTTCAATTCCACAAAGCACTTTGCATAGAGGCAAAGGAGTATGATCCACAGAATCCAAACTCGAAACCGTTGCATCAGTGTGATATTTATAATAATAAAGCAGCAGGAAATTTGCTGAAGTAAGTACTTTATTCATAAAAAAATTGATGTTACAATTTATGATATAATTTCTTAATACAACATAGATCTATGTTGGAGTTGGGTTCATCTAAACCTTGGCAAGATGCAATGGAAAAAATAACGGGTCAAAGAAATATGGATACCGCTGGACTTTTGGAATACTTCAAACCATTAATAGATTGGTTGACAGAGGAGAACAAGAAAACTAATGAGTACATTGGGTGGAAACCTAGAGCAAGACGTGTGTATTCTTATAACAAAATATAATTGACGTACATCTACACATTCATAGTATTCATAATCAATAATTATATTATACGAAAATATAACAATCTCCATACGGTATTCGCGATATATTACATGCTGACATATTAATGCCTATTTATTTCAGAATGCGTACAAACTAGATCAGAATTGGCGGTTGCTGAAACGACTGAATACATTGAAATAACTGAGACCACAGAAACGACTGAAGCGGTCTAGTAAAAATATTTTCGTTTCATTAAATAACTTCAAGAAACGCCCGTTTATACTTTCGTACAAGAGGTGCAATGAAAATCGAAATAGCGCTTCATTTTAGGTACAATAAATGATTAAAACGTATAAACGATTGAGATTCAACAATGAGTAAATACACTTCAAAATAAAGAATCCATTCCGTTTTGCCGAATAATAAAATTCACATTCCAATTTTACAATATTTATGTTATTTTGTCTTTCCGTGTCCTTTTCCACGTTTACTGGCCTTGATACTTTTACCTTTTGTTTGGGTTTTATCGTTACTTTTATCTTTTGATGCAGTTTTCTTACTTGCAGGTTTTTTCGCCTAGGAATGCATATTAATCAATGAATAATCTTACAATTGTTACTATTTTTTTCTGTTGTTATTAATACAATTACCTTAATCATTTTGTCAGTTTCAACATTATCATCATTATCATCATCAGAATTCACCTCCGCTGTTTCTTCCTCTTCTAAATAAGTTTCAGACTGCTGACCTACTTTCTTCTTTGATGTACCACTCACTGTATATGGTACAGCTGCCAGGTTTTTATTACATGCCCTTGTAAATGCTGCCTTTACCTATAATATGAATTTGCATTCTTACATTTGTTTCTATCGAAATATATCTAAATTCTTAAAAGTATACTAGAACTTGAAACTAACCTTAGTATCGATAACTTGCATAGGATCACGATCACCAGGCCACAACGAAATTTCTAACAAAGAATCCAAATCTTCTCTATTAACAAAGATATATACATCAGACAGTAAATTTTGAAGTTAGGACTTTTTATGCTTTGAAAAATAAATTTTAATAAAAAGTTAACCTGATTAAGTGATAGTGATTCATAACATTCACTGCTGTATCTACTCCTTGAGTACCATCGACTGCTAAAGGTCTGAGTACAGCATCCCTGAGAGGTTTTATATAATCCAACTTTATCGCTTCCTTACTTACACCAGTAGTTAAACGTGTGTGCACAGTTATCTCTTGTGCCAATCTATGATTATTATAAACAAATTATATATAAGATATAAAAACTATGGTAAAAAGACATCATTCATATATTACCTATCAAATTTATTAGCTCTTGAGTTACGTCCAAGCCAAGACGGAAAATTAATTTGGGAGTTGATATAACCAGACATTACTGTTCCAGGTATAACGGAAGAATAACATGCTTGCATTGGCAAAAGAGACCAAGCACCATTACTTCTTATCGATTTTTCAACTATATCTCCCAGCGCTAAACTTTCAGCACTTTCGGCTACCTTTTCCAGTAGTTTGTTTCTATATAAGAACAAAAGGTAGCATCAAATATAATTAACATAACATTAAATGTAGAGATTAAGTCACGTAATTAGAACATATTATACTGTTTGCTTGAGTGAAGATAGATAAAGATTGTAGAGGTAAAAGTTAAATAGCCTTCTATATCTCAAAATACAGGGTGGGACAATAACTATTACCACCTCAGATACCTTCGAAACTATAAGTTTCACAGAAATATTTGCTGAAATAAAATTGCACGGTACGAAGGAAATCATTCGGTGGCGATAATAGTTTTCTGCAGGTGGAAGTACTTCAGACATTTGAAGGTCACCTCCATTTTTTTTAAGTGCATCGGTATGTTTTTGCTTCCGTATCATGATAGATACCTTCTCTTGTTTTTTTTTTTTTTTATAATCAGTCAAGCAAAATATACAATATTTCCCAACCATGTGACGTATTCTATACACATAAAGAAAAAAGATTCGTTGTTCTTCTTTACACGTACTTCGACCCTTGAGGTGTGACTAATAAATAATTTTCTTGTACAAATAATGATGCTATGTTATAATCGTGGAAAAATAAGTCACTTTTCTCATGAATATTCATATGTTTGTGTTCCTCAGCACTAAATACTTTTTTCACAACATCCCAAGGACCCAATTTTAGGTCTTTGTTTACATGTCTTTTCTCAGACTTCTCTTGACAACCAGTCTTTTCAACGAACATTGCTAAATGATTTATCACTTGCCGAATATCTTGATTGGTTGATTCGATTAAACGATCAAGATCTTCTGTCGAGATGTTAATATGTTCTTTGAAACATATAGATTTCATTGCCCCCTATATAATCAGTTACAGTTAATTAAACTGTATATTATTTAGAAGTAGGTTAACAGATTCACTGTCAAGTAACTTATACGAAATTATTCATTTGTAAATTAATATGTTATATTTTATCATTTAAATCTGACACGAAGACCAAAATACTTGGCGCTGGAATATCGTTATTATTTATACAAATAAACTGTTTAACGTTTCCTTTTTGTGAGCGATATCCATTCTTAGTTACGGGAACAGTGAACGTGTCAAGTACTTACACATAATAAATTTTAATTTTACCCTAATCTGTTCCAATCTAGGCTTCGTAAATCGAAGGTCGAATACATAATTAGAGAGCGTCTTCATCTTAGGATTATTTCGATCATTGCAGATACAAACAATTGGTACCTCAGTTGATTTTATTAAACTAATTAATTCCTGTAGACCACCACGATCTTCGTTACCAGCCATACCATCAACCTCATCCATTAACAGAACATGATTTAACGATGGCTTATGTTTAGTGTCTATTATATGTAATATGAAAAGAAATTAGTGCATTTTCGTTCAAATTTGTATACATTCATAGATAGAAAAAAAATATATATATATATGTACCTTTGAAGTAATCCTTTAAGGAAGTATTAGATAAAAGTTCTGATACTTCTTGTTGCAACAGTTTTTTGCTTCTGGTATCTGATGCATTGAATTCTACGAGATCAAACCCCAATTCATTACAAACAACTTGAACTGTTGTAGTTTTTCCAATACCAGGAGGGCCGGATAATAAAGCGGCTTTGAAGAAAGCTCCGTCATCACTTTTTGCCCAGGGACCTAATATAAATAATATTAGTAAACAAATCTCTTAAAATTATCACACCTTCAGGAATTAAACTCACTGGGTTTGACGTGTTTAACATGACCACTATGATTTTTATGCCAATTCATTAACCATTTATGCAGTTTTTTGGCATTACTTTTATCTCCTTGTTGTCCAAGAATCTGTTTCATAGTTTTAGGTCTATATTTTTCGACCAACGCCTGTGTTGATATATTTCCATTTATCTATAAAATATTGTCCACGATATAAAAACTTCCAAAAATATATATTATTGGTTACATTGTAATTAATTGAATCTTACATCTGACATTGAATCTACATACTGTAAGGAATCCGTTTCTTTTTGTACGTGCTTTGCATCATTAGTTTCTATTTCGTTTTCTATGAGAGGTTCATTTATTTCAGTTTGTTCTTTCTCAATTGGTGGTGCTATGTTTGCTACTTTCGTTGTATCTTTAACATCGTGTTTTTTTTTAGAAGGCGACCGACTTGTTTTTTTTATAGGTTCATCACAATATTTTTTACTATCTGGCGAATGTATTTTCTTTGAGATTTCGGTGACTTTATTAGTATGTTCTTTTTTACGTGGAGAACTTATTTTTGTTAATTTTTCTGTTTTTTCATTTGCCATATTTTTAATTTTCTTTGGTGGTGAAGGAGACATATCTTCCGATTCTGTAGACTTACATTTCGTTCTATCGTTTGATTTTGTCCGTAATTGTGTTACGTTATCAGCCTGACCTGCAGGCCGTGTACGAATCATCTCTAACAGATCATCCTCCGATATTTGTTTCACATTCAAATTAGTTGCCTAAAAATATATTGACACATGCAAATAAAAAACGCCATGTTGTTAATTGTAATATAATAAATCTAAACAAAGGTTCGGTGTATCCATAGTCGCTATTACTTTTGCCACTTTTGCAGGACCAGGTTGATCTCCTATTATGATATAATTAGTTTTCTTTGAGACTTGGTGTACAATTCGTCCACCATAATGTTTTATAAGTTCGTCGGCTTCCTCTCTTTCCAAAGAATCCAAAACACCAGTAATTACGAAACTTAATCCTGCAAGACAATATTCAGCACCCTGAAACATTAATATTAATTTTTAAAATATGTGAAGGTATATATATAAAATATGTGAAATTATATATATTTTTTCTTTTATAAGGTATATTACTAATAATGTGATATATGTATATTACATACCTCAGGAATTTTTTTAGATCCTGGATGTCTTGCTCCTCCTCTTTGAAGGTATTGCTGATACCTTGCAGCATTGTATTTCTTTCTTTCAATTCTTTCTTCATATACGTCCAGTACTTCTGTCTTCTTAGGAGATACTTTCCTCTTCGGTTCTTCGTGCTTGATTTCAATTTTAGAAATACCAACTTTAGGTATGGATGGTTTTTCTACATTCTTAGATTTATTATCATGTTTGTATATCTCTATATCTTTGCTTAAACTGTCATTGGAATGTTTTTTATTTTTTAATTCAGATGTTTTGTTAGTTCTGTTTACATTAGATTTTTCAGGTGTCTCTTTCTTTTTAACATTATCTTTCTTCTTAATGGGTGTTTTTTCTTCTTTTTTGTTCCCAGCACTGATTGTATGAATATCATCTTCTTTGCGTTTACTACAAAATGGATCTATAATAGCAAAAATTAAAATTTAGCTTGATAGTTTGTCATGTATTTATACCAATTTTTCTTTAAGTAATACCTTTATCAGGTTTAGTTTCTGCTAAATATTTCTGCTCGATATCAGATGTATCTAATTCGATTAAAGTACATTCAAAATCATCATCATTATGACTCTTAGCTTCCTATAGTAACAAACAGATATTATTACATATGAATTCTAATATTGCTGTGATAATAATGGATTACCTCCTTTTGCAGTTGTTTCAATATTTTTGGTGCCTCTTGTCTACTTATTGGTTTCTTACCAAACTTAGCAGTAGGAGTAACAACTTTCTTTTCTTTCGCGTTTTCATCAGAAACAGGTGACACAGAATTATTTCCTAATTTTTTTGTTTTCTAAAACGTAGCCAAAATATATTTTGTTATTGATCCTGAAATCATTGACGCCTAAAATTATGATCTCTACAATTTAACAAGCAGAAGTAAAATCTAAATCCTCAAGAAGGTAAATTTGCTGCTTATATTGGTTGTCATTACAGAAAATTAATCTAAAAATTCAAGACCTCAATTCTAAGAGCAAACAAACAACATTTGTGTACTCAAATAAGTATACTAATTATCTCCAATTTATTTTATGCATAGTTTTAGTAAAAAATATATAAAAAGGTAAAGTTACAAAATATGTACTCATTTAGGTCAAATTAAAATTTCTTAAATAAACATATATTTTATAAATGCAGTTTAAAAATATACTAAATAAATAATAGATTAATTGTATTTCAGTATGCCAAAAACTTTCTAAGATACTCTGTTACAATATAGAAATACATTAAAACCTTTGATAGTTTCACCGGAGATAATATCTCTACATCATCTTCATCAGACGAAAGTCTTCGTCTTTTTGCAGTTTTTGTAGAAACAGAAGTGGTATTGGTTTTAGCACTTGAGAAATAGGATCGTATATCCTGCAAAGATAAAAAAAAAGAACGAATTGTTCATAATATTATCTTTTAAACACCATAAACTAGTCTCAGGTAATTCATTTGTGCTAAATTTAAAATCTAATGCTTCCATATACTTTATGATAATCATATCATTTAAAAATTTTTTTAACAGTAAATTTCACAATGCTATTCAAACAAAATATCATACAAGCAGAAATAGTTCAGTATTAATGCTTATTTGAATCGTATGTACATATATTTCCATACTTTTTAAAATTGGTAATAAACTTAATACAAATTACATATAAATATTGTTATAATTTTCAAATATTAAAATTCTTGTTTGGTTCAATAGTTTCTTGCATGAAAAGTATTAAATATTTTATATATTAATTTAGTAATTATAATTATGGATTCTGAAGACGACTATAAAATAAGGCGTCGATACATAAAATAAAGAATACCTTGTTTGAAATTGCAAAATCGAGACTGTAAACAAACGATTTCAAAATGCACGAGTATAAATACAATTTAACCTTCATTGCGATATTCGATCTATAGAATATAGAAACTTACCCTTGGCATGTTTCAAACGTAAAACAATCCGATAGATGCGTTAGATTTAAAATGATGGGACGATATTAGACCGAGAAAAGACAAATATATGTAAAAAAGAATCAAAATTGTTTCATTTCGAGCTCGTACAACGTAATACACACGCTCTTCTGTGATATATCTGAATGTATCATGGCTGGCGACCGACACGCACTAACGCATGCGTTATATACACAATTCAAAATTCGAATTCTAAGTGATTGATCAATGAAGTTAAAACCATATTGAAGTTACAGTCCAAATAAAACAATATAGAGATTGTAAATGACATAAAATCATAAAAATATAGGGATATTTTATAGTTAAGATGGTTTTTTTCCCCAATTGTACTATCAAATATAGGAAGAAATATAGGAAATATTAATAACGATATATTTTCTATAATAATATTCGTAAATTATTTTTTGATTCTGAGTTTTAATAAAAAAGGTAGTAATTGATACAATTATAGTAGAAATTAATTTTTCAAGGATAATTTTGTCCAATGTAATAGTTGTGAAATCGAGCAAGCGGCAACTTCGAGATGACAACCGAACTGCTAAAAAACTAGGAAGGTTATGGTATAACAGAGGTCCCCTGCGCCTGCAACATGATAACCGAACCGACAGACTGGCCAGTATAGGTTGCCGCATACTAGGGGCACCCCCGCGCCTACGAGATGGCAACCGAACCGACAAACCGAGTAGCAAAGGTTGCCATACGAAAGGGGTATCTCTGCGCCTACGAGACAACACACGAACCGACAAGCAGGCTACTATTGGTTGCTGCATACCAGGGGCACCCCTGCGGCAACGATGTAGCAACCGGGCCTACAAACTAGTTAACACCGGTTGATATCTAACACGGGCATACTCGCGCCTACTTGATGTCAACACATTTGGCTGTGATATTAATGTTTCACGAATTATTTTTTCGATGAATCCAACGAGCCTTCGAATCGACCTGTCACGACATGTCACGCGGTTGTTGTTCGCCCTTGCCCCCACTCTTCTTCGATAGCGAGCCGCGACCCTCGACCGAGTCACAGGTATACGACGGGCGCGGTCTCATTCTTTGACGATCCTTCGGTCGGTACGGATCTTGTGATCGCGCGTCCGCGTCTCGCGTCCCTCCTATTTTTGCGTAGTGTAGTTCCCCTTAGTTGTCGTAGCCTGGTATTGTTTGTGGGTACTTTAGTTTGGTTTGGTTAGTTTTAAGGCATGCGTGTACGAGTGTCTGTCCTCTACCAAACAATTATTAATCATTTGTTCAATTCTTTTGTTTGTTCGTAAGTCCATACTGGGCTCGTAACATCGTGCTCCATTTCGATCACTATTGCTTCATGTGGTAAGTGTAGTGATCAACTGTGTAACTGGACAGAAAGGCCGGTTGCCGTCCTCCTGGTGGATCTGTATTCGAGAGGAAGACAATCGGCTCCTCCGGATTGGTTCTCTACTTCCTGCATCACGTTTAGCGTAGTCCAAGGCTCTCGGCGTAGCGCAGTAAGTCCAAAGCGCAGTAAGACGGATACAAGTCGCGTCCTGTAGTGGCTCCCAACGGGATGCAGGGTGTGGAGGACTGGTTCGGAGGCGTCGGTCGTCTTCCTCTCGAGTCCAGATCCAACAGGAGGAAACGGGACTGACTCAGTAAGTCCAGTTTCATGGTCGCGTCGTGTCGCGATCTCAATTTAGCTTCACACTCTTAGTTCGAATAATTGTTTGGCAGAATCAGACATAGACTTTGGAAATCAAAGGGAGTTTGTTTTCTTTGATTTCCATGGTTTCGTACTTAGTATTAAGCTCGTCGACTCTATGTAGAGTATGCATGTACGTATGTATACTCTATGTAGAGGGAGATCGAAGGAACTTTGATTCCTTCTATCTCCGGGTCTCCAGTCGCAGCAACCTCCACGTGGTGAGACCTGGTAATCGGTATTATTCGTGACGAACAATCCTTCGTCGCGAATAATATCGAGAACTAATGGCTGCGAACTTGTAATAAGACTAGTAATTAATTTCCCTCCATTTCCTGGTATACTTCCTTTTAATACTCCTCCATTTCCTGGTATATTTCCCTTTACTTCCTGATACATTTCCCTATAATTTCCCCTCATTTCTGTGATATTTCCCTATAATTTCGCCTCATATTTGTGATATTTCCTGGTTAAACAATGTTGTAACGGCTCCACTAAAAATCATGACGGGAAATGTCGGATTTTTACTCCTGGTATCAGGAAAACATGATATGCGAAGAGGTGGCACGAGGATCACGTGGTACGTATCAAATTCTGGCCAAATTACTCCTGATATCAGGAGAACATGATATGCGAGAAGGTGGCACGTTTGCGCCTACGGACAGGCAACCGCTCCGACAAGTCTGTCAATAGGGGTTGCCTAATTGAAGGGGCCAATTTTGCTAGATTTCGGAATTCTGGCCGATTTTGGATTTTTGTATCAG